GTTGATGTGCAGATGAGTTGCAAATCATGCAAAATGTCTATCTGCGAACGACAAGTGCACCTTGGAATGAATAAATTCTCTAAATGGGCGGATGAGAATGGTTTTAAAATACACCAAGGAAAGTACTTGTGAACTTTTCTCCAACAAATGAGGGGTAATGCCACTACCAAGTATTGCGATACTTGGTAGCCCAACAAGTTCGTAGCGCATCCTCTGTCCAGAAGATGCCGCTGTGATAGCAGCTTTCAATGAGCCCAGGCCTCCGTGCCCTTGTTTTAAGGACTCTGCCGAGACACTAGTGCTCCACACCAAATTTCATACACATATCTTTTTAATGAATTTTATGTCTCCATAGCACACATCATTTGTCATTGCCATAATTTTACTCTATGTATATTTTAAACACCTACAGCGACTGTTTTAGGCCCATTTACAGCCACGTCACATCTATTTTATCCACACTGCGTAACGCACAGTTCATTATCATCGATCTGGCACTCTTTGGCCACATCTGGCCCTTGTGGCAATAAACTCCTCTAATCATTATTTATTGATTTTGCAAAAGCATTTGACAAGGATCCACACATCTGCTTAATAATGAAGTTAACGAATCTGAACATTAGCAAAATTGTTACATGGATAACTAATTTTCTGTGTAACGGCAGCCAGTCAGTTTATGTGAATGGACTAGATTTTCACTTTCACATGTAAAGTTCAGTGTTTGGTCCTGGGACCAATTTTGTTTATTTACATCGTCATTGGACATGCTGCGTCATCTACAGTCAAATTATTTGCAGGTCACTGCACCATTTACAAGAAAATTGACAGCACCGAAGCCAACCAATCGTTAGTAGGACCTTAATAAACTGGTACTTTGGTGTCAACAATGGCAAATGCAAATCAACACTTCCGAGACTAAGAACATGATATTTGCAAGAGCACATAAAACAGAACGGAGCAGCCAATATGAATGAAATTCAAGCTGTTCTCATTGAAAAGTATCCATGTTTAAATATCTAGAAATTCCTTTATCATCTGACCTATCTTGGAAAGAGCACATACGTAGCCTAACTAGTAAGGCATCAAAAGCACTTGGATTTATTGGAAAAACTTTCACTTAACAAACTCTACCACCAAATACTAGGGTACATTGCACTTGTCCATTCAAAGATAGAGCATGCATTGATAAAGTACAATCAATACAAAATAAAGTGGCGTAATGTATCTCCAAGCAGTATTCTTGCAACTACAGCATTACAGATATTAAACAGTCTCGTTCATTACTCCCTCTTGAAAAACGCAAACTGTCGTCACTGTTCTCACATGTTCATAAATTTTATTGCAGTAAGTCTTGCTTTCGTGAAGCCCCAATAAACATGCCTCATAATATTTCCAAATGTATTGATCACCAATTCAAAATACAGCTTTTTTTACATATGAATAAAAAAAAGGGTACATATGAATAAAAAAATAATTGTGGCAAGCCAGGTAAGTGTTTCGAGGCAATATTTAAAATTCATTTGAAGACAATCGGCACATCTCTCAGCATGCGATTTGGCAGAAATTACTTGAATGTGCAAGGGAACGTACCCAGTGAATTTCATTGATCTTGAATAACTTTTGGAGTTTTCCTTTGCATGAGATTACTCGGTGAACATGTAATACAGGCCTACATCAGTATGCATTAAAGGGGCGCAGCCTTCATGTGACCTAATAATCGTGCGGTGGTTTTGGGAGCTTAAACCTCGCATATCAATCAATTCATGCGACCTGATGACCCTATGCTCGTCAGCACGCCTTGAGCAACATTTTAGCATGCTCGTGTAACCGTGCATACAATTTCCAGGTCTCTAAGATTTTTTAGCGGCGCAGTTTTACTGTGTACACTGTCTCGGCAATGGCATGTACAGTCGGCCAAATCTTTAGCTATTATGCATGAGTAGCAGTTTTTTGTGTGTATCTTTGCTGTACGACTCAATTACGTTACAGTTGAGTTACGCACACGTGTATGCCCCAAAGCACGTGCCAAAGAAACAATTTCTTGTAATTTCGCTCTATAATGTGGTGCTGAGACAGTGGCTGCTATGCGTAAAATAGCTAAAGTTTTCACCCACTGTACTGCAGTTAGCATGGCCGTGCATATGCGTAGTAGTGACTTGGTTTGGTTCGTATATTAAAAGCGACACCACGGCGAGCTACCCATGATACAGATGCAGGTAACCTTGGGCGGAAGAGCACACAATGCAGTAAAAATATAGGGAAGGTGTATACTGCTACATCATTTTATTGGAACTGTTCATTTTGAAAAATAGTTGAGAGGCTCGAAATAATTGTGGTTAAAGGCTTAAGGACACTAAAGAGCAAACTGGCTTTCCATGTATTGAAGTACAATTGCACAATCCTTAAAACACCACTCTTATCACGACACGACGCTCGGGAAGCGAGAGAACTCTCGAAAAGAAAATGAGGGCGGCGATGCCAGCTTGAGGTCCCCGCACCAAAACCATGGCATGACATATTCCCTACTTGTCTACTGGTAGCTTCCAATCAATCAAAATGAAGTACATTGTAATGTGTAGGTGCCAAAGACTTCGAAGTTTCAAAATTTTATCGAACCAATGCTTCGAAAATACTAAATACATTTTGAAATTCGCATGCAAAGATTTTGGCGCGGAATTTAAAAATGAAACGTCGGCCTTGATTTGCTCCACTGACTTGCGATAGTGAAACGTATGGCATTACAGTTCTCAGAGTGCAGTTTGTCAATCTAAACCCAGTCATTATTCCTCTTTAGTGTCCATTCAAACCATGCTGTAAAATATATTCCCATTAGGGCACTCACGAGACATGATCAACCTGATAAAGTAACAAAGCCGTGCGCCTATCTCTTTGCGGACTGCAGGAGATACCTGTTGGCAGGACTACACAGCTTCAAGACAGAAATGCATTGCCGAAGCCTTCGAGGCATTGCGGGAAATATGTACTTCGTGGTCAGTAAATGGAGATATGGCACGTTGGCAACTAGAGCTGGAAACGCCTACTGTGTTTTTCGCGCACATAGTCGACGTGCTGCGAATGGCAGCATTGACACGTTGGTCGCCAAAGCAACGGAACATAAAACATTATACACGCGGAGGAGCTTTTACTAGCCTGTGCAGTGCTGTCCATCCGCGTCTCCATGTCAAGGTGCCGCACTGCATACAAGCAGGTGCGTCCTCGAGTCTTTAGGCATAGCATAATACTACATACAATGGGGGGAGAAGACGATGGTGATGCCGCCCGGATCCAAGGACTTTGAGTGGTTACCGGAGGCACCGGCATTATCGATGCGGGTGCCTCGGGTAACAAGGGACAGGGGTTATCTTCTCGACCTCCACTTCACCCGAAGGAAACTGCCGTATTTCAAAGCGTATTCATTCATTCAAGTTGCGTTAGTTGCGTCGTCCCAGTGATGGATTATGGTGCCTTCACCAGACCAACAGGTACACACTGGTCTAACCTTGACAAGTAGAATGCACTTTGCAAGCGAGCTGAAAACTGGTGCCTTGCACCAACCCCTATTGTGAAAAAAAAAAAAATAGCGGACATGTAGCAGTGTACGAAAATTTTTTGGCCTTGTTCTAACCCGTACAGAACGCTGCATGAGCAACCTTTGCCCCAGTTTTCCGGTGTCGTGGAGAAAAGCATATTAATGATGTGGAAGGGGCTGTTAGCTGTACTCCCAGGACATAGCACATTGCATTCAATTACTCGTGCCTGTATACGTCACATGATTCGGAGTACTAATATGAACACAGGCATTTGAAAAAGTTACTGGCACTCATTTGGAGCAGTGTGACATTTGTGTTGCCCTTGAAAAAAAAACAAACTGCACCATTCTATTTCTTTAGGGGCGAAGCTCCTCTGTCTATCCTTGTCCTGCATCAGGCATAACCGGCAGTATCAGGCACGAGCAGACGCATGGACGGATCAACGAACGGACAGACCAGCGGACACAAATGGATGAATGGACAGATGGATGTCCCCTCACTCATCATCCTTCATCCTGTGGATATCCTGCGATATTTTTTAGCTGCTCCTTTTTGTAATTTTTACGAACCCCTAAATTTCCGGATCGCTAACAGATCTACATTTGAATTTGCACATTCTGTGAAAAGATTTGACTGATGTGGCAAATGTAATGCAGACTTCATCATTGTTTTCTCAGTGGAATGGCTCAAAATACTGCTTTATTAAAATAGCAATGCTCATGTTTACTCTGCATGATTTAGGTGATGTTGAATGGCTTGCACATACTTTATTCTTTTAAATGTGAGCCTTCTTTTTTTATGGTGCTTTAAGTTTGGCCTTTCATGATGAAGTAATGAAAATAGGTTTTTTTTCTGAAGAGCCACTCACCAGGCCCGATAAATATTAGTTACTGTGGAAGTGTGTCCAATGAGAAAATTTTGACAATCTGTTCATTAAGAGCTCAGGAAATTTTTTTTTTTTTGAAAGGGTGTGACACGAGGATGAGAGGTATCGAGCTCGCAACCCTCGCCACTCCTCCACGTAGGCATAAATTGGTATGCTGCAATGCATCTTGGAGTACTTCGCTAACTGGCAAGATTTCTTCCAGAGCCATGAAAAATAGCTATTTTCTTGTGGTAACAGAACAGTTAAATGCACATGTAGTGACATACATACATGTTTTTGACAGTTTTGTGGTTGCTAGCAGATCACATGCATGTATGCCTCTGGCTAGGGTTAATTATGCATGATTTCATATGCCACACTGTGTGCTTAAATATTATTTGTACTTGCAAAAAAAAAAAAGGAATTATTTATCAGATATAAACTGTAAGGTTGTCAAGGCTGAAAGTGGTCCAGAGACTTGTAAAAAAATTACCAATCTTTCTCATTGAAAGATTAGTAATCACTTAGTTGTTACTGATAGTCCAAACCGACAGACTTTTTTTTTCTACGTCATTTTGTTTCTCAAGTGCTTGGCTTGGTTCCAGGTGAAGGAAGCAGTCCTGCCTCTGGACAATGCGACGGTTGTTGACCCTGTGCGCAGCAGCTGCACTTCTTCGTCTGGCGAGCAGACCCTTGTGCTGCTGTTTGGCCACAACAACATCCTCTCCCTGGTGTTTGCCAAGAATGGCACTGTGTACCTCCACAAGCTCTTCGTCGAAGTTTTCTTCTCCACAGAGTTCTTCCCAGGTGCTGTCAAGCCAGGTGCGTTATAGCCAATCCACCCAAGATAGTAAACTGTTGACCATTTATAATGTAACCCACTTAATGCAGGACCAGTTAAGTCGGTCTTTTTCGTCTCATGTTTACCCTCTCATGGAACCCCATGTATACGTACACTGCTTATTGTGCAGTTCCCCAAGATGAAAGTGCACTTATAATGCAGGTGCTTGTAAACTTTCATAGTGCACTTCTCCAAGGAGGGGTACAGCTGGGGAGAGTGACAAGGTCAATACAGAGGAGCAGGGGCGTAGCCTGAAATTTTGCTCGAGGGAGTCCTCAGACTTATCAAGTCATGAGATTACCCCTCTGCATGCATATTGGGGGAAGAGAGTAAGTAAAAGTACTGTAAAAATGATTGATTGATATCTGGGGTTAAATGTCCCAAAACCACCATATGATTGAGACGCTGTAGTGGAGAGATTCAGAAATTTAGACCACCTGGTGTTCTTTAAATGTGTACCCAAATCTGAGAACACAGGCCTCAGCATATTTGCCTCCATTGAAAATACAGCTACTGCAGTGGGAATTTGATCCAGAGACTTGCGGGTGAGCCGCAGGGTACCTTAGCCACTAGAGCACGGTGGCAGGGCAGTACTGTAAGAAGTACTCGATACTTAACAACAGGTACAGTGACCATTTAGAGGAACAGCCTCTAGTGACATCATTGAATAGACTAAGGTTCGAAAACGCATTGAGATTACCCACCCGATCGAAGAAAACATCGTTAATCTTTGTTCATCATCATCATTTATTGTCCCTTAAGGGCCCTGGTTGGGCATTACATAAGGGGGGGGGGGGGGAGCATCGAAATATGCATACAAGGTCACATTTACAAAGGAAAAAGGCATGTTAGCTCTTTGCACTGCTACAAAACTGAATATAAAAACAAAAATGACGCATGCTACGCGTTTCCGCATGAGTTTGCAAAGTATTTGCATTGCGGTTTGCCATGCACAAAACAAAGGAAAAAGAAGAAAACTAATAAGAAACAAATAAACAAACATCATTGTACGTGTTTACAAAATGATGGACTGATTTTGTAAGCAGAATCTACAATAAGGAGTGGTTTCGTTATACATTGTTACGGAGTCGAGGACAGTGGTATTATATAACTTTAGCGGTACAATATTTACGAAAGAATAAAAAAGGTACAGTACAAAATGTTTAATATACACTTGGAAGAAGCAGCAGCTTAAAAGTAAGCTTCCACTTTCTTGTGAGTCGGTGGAGTACAGGTGTCTGTTGTCGGTCAAATTCATTTTGCTAAATGGGCCGATACTAACTGCTTGAATTTCGAATTGTCACGTTGATGTACTATTGATTCGGGAAGCGAGTTCCATTCCTCTATGGCCAAAGGCAAGAAAGACTTGTTGAATGCGTTGAATGCGGTTGTAGAGCCAGTTATACGCTGCACACTCATGGAATCGAAAAGTCAACAGGTGCTATTAAGTGGAGGTTCGAAGGTCCGGACGATTATGATACAGGTTGTGAAACAGCGCCAGACGCAGCGTCTTTCTTCGTTGGGCTAAGGAGTCGAGACCGATGTATGATTTGATGTCACTAATGCTGACCCAACTACTATACTCAGAACTTATGAAGCGAGCGGCCCTATTCTGGACGCTTTCTAATAATTCAATTAAGTAGTTTTGATGTGGACTCCATATAGCGCAGGCATGCTAAAGTTTAGGTCTGACATATACCTCATAGGCGAGTTTTCGGATGTTACTCGGAGACAAAGCAAGGGAGCGTTTAATGAAGCCAAGAGTTTTCGATGTATCTGCAACTAATTTCGTGATGTGTTCGGACCAATTGAGCTTGTCAGTGATAAGGACACCTAGATAACGGTACGAATTTACGCATGAAAGAGCCGTGGAGTTTAATGTGTATGAATAATCTAGGGTGGAATGCTTTCGTGACACTTGCATGCTCTTGCATTTTGATACATTGAGCTTCATCAGCCAGTGCGCGCACCAGGTTTCTATTACATCAAGGTCTCTTTGCAGAAGTTGCTGATGATTAAGACTAGATAGTGTGGTACTCATCAGGGCAAAGTAGGTTTGACAGATCAATGAGGGTTCCGCTTACAGCGAGGAATCGGGAAGTATACACAGCATGTTTTTGTACATTCATAATTGCATATTGGCTTTGCTTACATTGCTGAGCGAATTTCTTACTGTCAATGTCTTTGCCTTCATGCCTCTAATGAATGATTTTCATATTAACCTCTATATGTCAAGCCCCCCCCTGTTCAGTGATAGCTTTTAGTAAACATTTTTTTACTTTACTGCGGGCATCCAAGCATGCTTGCCATACGAAATAAGTAATTTTTTTTTTGTATGATATGCTGCATGTTTGCAACGCCATTCTGCACACATTATTTCTTGGGCAGACTTTCAGTTGCCCTGTGACTATATATACCAATGGAGTACGACAATAGTAGAGGTTTTATCGTGCAATCTGCGAGGGCTAAGTAATCATTAATAAGAAATATTCACTTGGTCTCATCAAAAGTGCACGTGCGACCAGACTATACCTACTCAACATTTTCACCTACATCGAAAATGAGAGGGATTTCATCTCGCTACCTGCAGGTCGGCAATAGAGCACCATAACTACTGCACCCCCTGATGGGTAGTGAAAGATGGTTTTGGTAAAATCAGTGTGCGCTACTTTTCGTCCAGCTGTAAGTAAGGAACGAAGTTCAACTGTATGAGAGATATTGCTGACAGTCTCTTTGAAAGCATGGCAGAGCTATTCAGTAGCGCCTTTCACTTGCAGACGCTCTTAGCGGTTACGAAAGTTTTGAACGACAATGCGACAACTCAAATTTGCATGTGGCAATTCTAGCAAATTTTGTGTAACATATGGGGCATATAATGTGACATGCAATGCACAGGATAATCTGTGTAAATTGAAAAAAATAATCAACAGTATTTCGCTATGCATTGTGTCTGTTTGCGGGGTGAGACATTGCTTGCACTAAGTTTCTTTCATTTCTTGTAAAAAAATGACATGCCCACCCATGTTTCTCCATTCTGTCTTGTCGTGCGTCATGTCGCTAGTTGCAGAAATTCCTCGGTGTGCCCTTCTAGTCATCTCAACTTGAGGAAACGAACGGATGAAGTGAATGAATATATATATAATTTTTTTTTTTCAGCTTTGTTTCTTAATCTTGCTCTGTTTGCCAGTGCTGAACAATAAAGTTGCATGATGAGTAATTTAGTAGACCTTTCTAAGGGTGTGATTAGCCTGCACATTTGCCTGTGTTCCATTTTTGTCACTGGACAACACTTCGGAGTGCTTTAGACGTTGTGGCATAATAGATATGTATGTTGTGCACTCGCATACAAGCAGAGTTAGGTGTATAAACCAAATACTCTGTTGTGTGTGCCCGTGTGTGTGTTTAGATGTTAGAACGTGCGAAGGTTAAATAGAATTGTTATTTTTTGGCTTTAGTATATCTTAGCACACGTACGAACAGTGACACTGTAATTTGTTTGAACGTGGCCTATCAGGTCATGGCTGGCTATTCCATTAAAGGGAACCTCTCCCTATTGAAAATTGTCGTAGTAGTAGACTCTGGCGAGATCTGTTCCGGCGGGTACAGGTACTGCCACCGCTTGAACATTAATCCCGTTGCCGAGCCAACTTTAAGCACTTGCGGTCGAGATTACTGCCCAAAATCTCGCAGAATGCTAAGCCTTGAGAAACAGCGCGACACGTTTTTTCGTATGCAAACATGATTTATTGTAAAAGCTAGGAGCAATGATATTGATAATACCAGCGCTTAGTTTCTACATAATGTCAACGCGAAGTGACAAAAGAAAAACAAATTAAGTGGCAGGGGGGAGGTGGACAAAAATTTCGGAGGGGGGGGGGGTGGAGTTGAACCCCCCTCACCCCTGGCTACCTCCAGATGGAGGACAGACTGGGGTATCACTACGTGGGCTCAACGAGTGAGGAAGGCAGTTGCCTAGGCGATGGAGACTCCTTTCGATCTGCTGCAGTGTGGCTCGGAAGCTTGGATTGCTTACTGGCCATGTGTGCTCCGCATGATACGTGCAATTGCGTCCTCAAGGGTGCTTAGTGTCCTGCTGGAAAAGCCATCATCGTCGCACTTGCTACAAGTACAGTGGAACCCCGTTCATACGTTTTTTAGCGAACCGGGTAGGAAAAACGTAATAGCTGAGAAAACGCAAGAGTGAGGAATGCTCCGAAAATGAAAGCACAGGTGCTTTGACTACAAATAATTGATTTCGGCGCGGTGAGCCTGACTTGTAGTATTCGGAGATTGTCGACTGCCGCTTCTTTCGCTTGCTGGTAAGCGTCGCATGTTTCACAATCTGGAAGGCCACATTGCTTTCAGCGTCACTTTAGTGTGCAATGTACCTGCGAAGTTGATCGTCCGACTCCACTGCCAACTGTTGAGAATTGTGTGGCTCATGCACATTGTTGTTGATGTCCCAGTCTTCAGTTGCAATAGTTTGCAACAATCTCTGAGATTGTCTGGCACTTCGATGTCGTGACAGCAGCATCCAATGACGTAGTCGTCCGATGTACCAGTGGCACCCAACACATTCATTGCCTCGTTGAGCTCTTTCTCGCAAGCGGCTGCTTCCGATTGTTGAGCTTGAGCTTCGATGACAGGCTCCCCTTCGCTGTCCATTGGGAACCCACACCTCGTGAAGCAGTGCTCTACAGTTGACGCGCTCACTTCACTACACGCTGATGCGACTTAATGCATAGCGTCAAGTACCGAAGTTGTCGTAGGCTGCTGTTCACGATCAATACACGCGAGTGCTTGACGCTGCTTTTTCTGTCAAGGATTTTAAGATACTGCCCGTGTGGCAAAAGGTTTCAATCAGTATGGGTCTCTGCCCTCCCTAAGAACGCTGAGAATGACGAGGTGCACTGCATAGCCCAAGATGAAACACACTGGCATGGTCTTCCTGGGTAAGGCGCAGACTTCCCTTGATAGTCTA